TTTTTGAAAAAAACATCTTAAATTCAATGAGCTTGAGTATGAAAGCGCAAAAGCCATCTTGACAGTACGGGTACAAACGAAACGGTTCCGTGCTTTAGAGTAGCGAAAAGTTGCATCACAGTCTAGAATGTGTATTTGACCTACCGCGGATCATGAAAGTGTCTTTACAACGGAGTTCCAGAAAATTGATCGTTGTCAGCAATACTTGATATCACCGTTCCCGCTGGTCAAGATGCTGGGTGCAGACAGCATGAACTTGGTGATACGAGGCGCTGTTGTTCTCGCCATACAGAGTTGCCCATGTGTCCACTGCTTATATGTAGGTACATTTCTTTGCCTTCAGGGGCGACGGGACACGACGATATCGTTATTTCGCTTTAGTGGATGGCGCTACCGCTGACCAAACTGTAAGCACACTCCGGATGATGTCATAACCGTCACTGATCGTATCTCGCTAGCTAAGTGAGTTCATGGAGGTTTAACTTTGACATATTTCAAGATGCTCCAATGTTTATTATGGTAGCTCGACTTCGTCACGCTTCAACACTTAGACAATCACACATCGAAAGAGCACTTTAAGCAGAAACGAATGTAACTGAATAAGCACTTCAAAAATGTAGTAGTAGTAGTAGTAGTAGAAGTAGTAGTAGAAGTAGTAGTAGAAGTAGTAATAGAAGTAGTAGTAGTAGTAGTAGAAGTAGTAGAGTAGTAGTAGTAGTAGTAGTAGTAGTAGTAGTAGTAGTAGTAGTAGTAGTAGTAGTAGTAGTAGTAGTAGTAGTAGTAGTAGTAGTAGTAGTAGTAGTAGTAGTAGTAGTAGTAGTAGTAGTAAGTAGTAGAAGTAGTAGTAGTAGTAGTAGTAGTAGTAGTAGTAGTAGTAGTAGTAGTAGTAGTAGTAGTAGTAGTAGTAGTAGTAGTAAGTAGTAGTAGTAGTAGTAGTAGTAGTAGTAGAAGTAGTAGAAGTAGTAGAAGTAGTAGTAGTAGTAGTAGCAGCAGCAGCAGCGGCAGCAGGAATTGTAACCTCTGCAAGCGTTGAATCAGCTGAATCAGCAGTTGGATTTGCAGCTAGAGCAGTAGCGGCAGTGTTAGCTGATCTGTATGTCTATCTGGCTTGTTGTTCTCAACGTGGACTACGGGCACTAGATAAATGCCTATCTGCTTGCTGCCGCCGTAGAGGAGCCAAAAATGTTGGCAACTGGAATCGAATAGATGACGAATTTCAAACGCATGCCACTAGGTGGCACCACCGAAGCAGCTTTTGAAGCTCGCAGAAGCGGTCGGTGAGGGAGATATCCTGTCTTCCGTTGGGAGCTGGACAAGGCAACCCTTGGTGAATGGCCGAAAGCTGGTTGATGCGCGCAGTCAATTTATCGAACGGCGAACATAGCCAGCAGAAAGTATAAATCAAACTATGATATTTTATTATTAAATCATTGGCACTTTGTTACATCTTGTTGCGTGATTCGAGCGAATAAAGGCGAACGAGTGACGTTTGCTAAATCCACATTGTCGTAGGAGTATCTGAGATATTTACGTAAACACTCGTATGGCAATATCTAACGCTACCATTGTATTTCGCCTTGCCTTTGCAGACGCAGGTCATTCTAACAAAAATTTTAATGAATTCATGTAGCATTTAGGAAAAATATGTCACGATCGTAGGAATGATGCCAAGTTACCTAAACCGAGAGGATATTCAAATTAGCGATCTCTAGCTTTTTTTCAAGAACACCATTGCAAAATGCTTTTTTGTATCATTTTATATTCTTGTGAGTGTGAAGGGGGGGGAGTGCGATTTCTACGCTGCGGGTTGGTTGGAAAGTTAATGACTAACTACTGTAAATGTAACAAAACTTTCCCTCAAGTGTAAGTTACGATTGCCCGTCAAATAGCTGCTCTATGCGAGAGGCCATGCGGACACAAAGTTCGATCTGACGACTATCCTGTGTAACCGATCTGCAACAGGAAGATCCGCCAATTAAATCATTATTTTGTTTTCATACTAAATGCCAACATAACCTAACTTTTCATATTCGTATACGTGAAAAATCACATAGTTCGTGTCTAAAATCTATTTTACATTAATTTTTATCGTCTATTAGCAAAATATAATGACGAGAATCTTAGAATACCATCTTAAAGCGGAACATAACGAGGCCGGCTTACTACTAAATTGGCTATTTAACTGCTGTATAATTTGGTGACAAAGCTTCACTTTTCAGCTTGTTAGATTACATTCGGTAAATAAGTGCGTCTCAATTTTTTCCTGATTTCGAACGATGTACGTTAATATTTCTAATTACCTTTGTTTTTATTCCGTGCTATAGTACAGAAAAGCTTGGTGAAAACCCAGTATTCGTCCGATAAAATAAAAGCTAGGTTCTTAACAAAGCTTAGATAGAATCTTATGTTTACTAATTTATTTTGCTTATTTTTGAGTAATAATTGCTTCAGTTAATTTTCTTGTTCAATATATTTGGACAGTTTTGCTTTGCGAGAATTATTTGTGCTAGGTAACTGAACTCAAGTTCCAACAGATTCATAATAAAACTTTGTTCATGTTAAAGCCCATATTCGGAAAGGAAAGTAGTTGTTTCTATTACGTTCTAATTAGACTTTGGCTTCTTCTGACGGTCGTAGGCAAAAATGGTCGTCGCTAGCCAAGCAGCCCAAAATCTTTACCTCTGACCAAAATGTTAATTCGGTAACTTGTGAAAGCTTAAATATATGACAAGTTTCACGTGCAGCCTGCGGCGCCTTCTGTCCACTTTGGATAGTAACATGTATGTTATTTTAAAATGCAGTATTTTAATTTATAAAGTTGTGCAAATGGAAGGAATTATAGTATTAGTAATTTCGTTCGTGGATTATAACCAGGTAGACAAAAGAGTTTTTAGAACAGAACTTTTGGGTAGCTAGTTTATAGGAGCAAAAGAAAAACAGATAAATAATATAAGCTGTATTCATTACTATATAAAGTGAAAATTAAGGCCAGTCACGCATTGCGGTAGAGTAGAATAAGTTTTTCAACACTGCTTGAAGGTTATGAGCAAAAATTTTCCCTTTGATTTTCAATTTTTCCTCGTATATATGTCTGCAAAAACCATCCGAACTTAGACGAACCCAGGGCAAATTGGTAACTACGGCTTCTAAGATGCTTACATTCAGACCGCCTGTTTTTCACTTGAAGCCAAATAACTTAGCCACAAAAGAAGGATACTAATGTTAAAAACATGCTTGCATCAATGGCAGACAATGGTATCCAGTTGATTAACTTTCTAAAAAAGTCTATTCGAAATCACATAGTTAGACCAAAGAGGTGAAAATGGAAGCACATAGACAAACTTAGTCGCACATTTAAGTCTGTTTTCTATCTTATTTTTGATAATTCCCTACTCAGATGGATAGACAGTACGCATGCGTATATGCTAAAGCTTAAAGTACCTAGCCAGATAGCTTCAATCAATACCCCGCGATAACGTCGTGGATAACGCATTTAGATCGTTAATCTTAGGGACGCGTTGTGGTTTGGGTTCGAAACCTGGCATAGGACAGCCGTCTGCCTGCTGGAATACCTAACGGCGATACTTGACATAAAACTCGAAACATAAAGCTCTAATTAATCTGATCTATGCACTTAAGTCTCTGAACCAAATGCTTTTGAAATAATTTTCTAGCTGTGTCTCATCACCTGCTGCTGATCATCGCATCTATGCAATTAATATAATTAATAGCTAACGTTGGTAGGCGCCTTAAGACGGATTACGCATATAATGTTAGCCAAAAAGGATAGAAATTTTTGCCATGTACAGGTTGTTGCCGAGCACACTAATACAGAAAGTTAGCAACCCCCTTCAGAAGACTTTGCGTTTATTTCTGAACACGCTACATGGTAAGCATCTAGGTTCTCACATCGGCAGTTCCGTAATGAACTGTTGCGGTTCAGCAGTATGCCGTCCTTAACGTTGCAACCCTTGCGGAACTCCAGTTACCCAAACGGAAGAGCTCCCCGCCTTTGGTCACGCAGACCAAGATAGAATCATTAGCATCGCGCTCTCCTTCGCTGAAAATAGGTAATTTGACTCAATCACAGGTACTACTTTGGTCCTTGGTGGTATCATTTCATCTGTATGGCAGCGAAGTCGTTCAGGACAGTGCTGTGTCCATCACGTAGGCAACATAGTACATGTTTTCGGCATAGCAGCCTTTCAAAAGGAGCATTGCAAGGACAGAAATATATTACATTAGAAATATGTTTACGTAATAGGATTTTAATGTTTAAAAATTGCTTTCGCAATGGGTGCCTTGTCATTTGAAATTAACTAGTCTGCTCTAGTGATATAGCAATTGTTGCCTGTGTGTTTTTGTTTATAGACCGAATAAACGCTTAGTACTTAGCTTAGATAGAGTCAAATGTTAAAAGCAACTACAGAATCATGAATAAGTTCGACGGATTGTCCCTGGAGAATAGGTAAAAGAATTACCGAGGATAAAATCAATAATAGTTCGATCATCATATATCATTTCTTCTTAGCGCGTTTGCTACAACTGCCGCTGTCGTTGCTGCTGCTGCTGTCTACCTAATTTCTCTATGATCGACTCCAGCTAAAACTTTCGGAAATTATTAAGGAGTTACATAGCTTAAAATAATGTTCTGAATAGTATGATATTGATTGTCACCAATGTGATATATAAACCAAGATAACTAAAACTCATTGCGCAAGAGGGATTATTTTTACACCATCGACTCAGAAAGGTCACGCTTCGCGCGAGACACTTTTCGAAGTTCTGCCGCAACGCTCGTGTTTATTTATCCTAAGGTTCTCGCTTTTTTCTTACTATACATTTGTTGCGGTGATAGATTAGTCGGTAATATGTTTGTCTATTCAACTTAGGAATACATAAGAAGTGTTCTAATGTTGAATTCGGGCGTCGCCACGCTTCGTTCTGTGTTCGAAGGAGCCGGCCGCCTGAAATAATGGCTTAAGTAGCAAAGGTGAAGCTCGAAAAACGTCATTTCTGCTCAGTAACAGTCTGATCAGGGATACCGACTTATAAGCTACCCCATTTCTCAATAAATGGATCTGCTGTATAGGTAAGCAGTGACAATGATGAAATGCGAGATTTGTTTTTAAACACGAAATGAAAAAAATCAATGAACAGCTGTTAATTGATTACGAATTGCTAAAGTTAAGTAATGATCTAAACCATTAAATGCCAAATATGAACCATTTTATATATTCAGATGCACCAGGTTAGCGGGCTAGATTCGTGTTCGTGCGTCTGCTAAAAGTGTACATATAAAACCCGCTAATCTATGAATTATTACATTCACTGCATAATAGTGTCTTTTCCGACAATTAACGGATTGAATATTTGACCATTACATATATTATATCCACTAATCGGATGTTTTATGGGCAGGATTTAATATACAACCTATGAGGCTGATGTCAATAACCTCACGCAATTTGTTTGAGAGAGATTGCATGACAACAAAATCATATGCCTATAAAAGCAGAAGATTCCTGCTCTACCCGACAATTAAAAAATACTTTATCAAATAAAGGACGCAAGATTTAATTGGATTTTTCTCATTATGTCCTTAAAAGATCGTCTAGACTTACACAGCTATATATTGGCCTATTAGTTGCCCGGGTTGATCGGTCCTAATTGTATTTTCAGTCGAGCCAATCTTTCATAATCTACTGTCATCCCAGCAAAGAAATGGGCCTAATATGCTTACCTATCTTCTATGCAGTGCTCCAGTTAGCTCATATTTGGCTGATACAATCAGAAACATACGCCGGATCGCTCTAAGAGTTCTCGCAAATTCTGACCAGTTTATTACAGAGGGAAGCTACAAGCCGCCACAATAGCTTCGTGAAAAAAAGTTACTGCAAGTGTATACATTGGAAACATTCGGCTGACGGGAAATGCATAGGCTGTTAATGTAACCTTAAATGGAAAATTCGTACTAGAAAACAAGCCTTTCCCATGTGTCTATATCATCTCGCACATTTTAAGCAACATAGTTTCGAGATCCTGTAGGTGACTATATTTGCTTAAAAATATCGGTAAATAATGCAAAAAGACATATGATGATTATAATTATTGTCTTTGTGGTGCATTTGCAGGTCTGCCGCATGTCAGATTGGAAGCGTTTGGGGAGACAATAGATAAATTTGGCGATGCAACAGTGGATAATAGCGGCTTCTCGTGGTATCGAAGCCCAAAATTCTAACTATAATCACATTGACAGAGCCAGAACTCCCATAGTCCGCCTAAATGCAAAGAGTGTAGCCATATATATATATTTCGAAAGGCCAAGTTTCCTCAGTCGTAGCAAGCAACCGGGGGATTTTTTTGGTTGGATGTTGACACAGGCTCGTGAAAAAGATAGACAGAAAGTTTGTTTAGCGAAAACTGCAAAAGGTGTTGCAAGATTGCACGAGTATTTAGAACTTCTATTTTAGTAATAATGATGTGTCCACTTAAAAGGCATCATCTCAAATCGGCCACTTCGTTACTGACACTTTGAGTTGGAGCGTCTCATTTATACAATTGAAAAAATAGCATTTCAAGTGTATTTGTACAAGATTTAGGCTAAATTTTAAGTAGTATGAACGCTCACAAATAAAGTACTTGTTAAAAAAAAAGTGCTATAGTACTCGTAAGACATGTAGTTGTGCCCATTACCGACTTAAGACCTCTTTAGTTCGGCTGTCTTGTTGTTGTCAAGTGTTTCAAAGATACAGACTGCTCTCCGTGAACAACTGCAGTGTACGTAGACGGTAGACAGCCGGAACAGAAGAGTGATGGCGCTGTAAAAGTAAGAGTCGTCTGTTCAGGCTTGGCACATTGAATTTTTACCTTAACGAGATGGTATTTCGTGAGAAGATTACATGAAGAACTAGTAGTTACCTTACAAAGTGTATGACCAATCTTATGAACTGTATCAGGACTTAAACATTGCAAGTAGTAAAGAAAAAGCATGACAGCGAAAGCAGCACATGTATATGCGCGTAGATGCTGTGCATAAGTTAGGTTAGGTTAGGTTGCGTAACAGGTTGCATAAGCGACTACTGGTTAATGAAATGATATATTTTTATACAGACCTGTTTTGTTACTGATGTCCGTATCGTAAATCGAAGAAATGACTCATTTAAATATGAACTGCGGTTTCTATCACACAGATGTTACGTTTCGATACTTGCCGGCGATGGACACCTTACCTGAGTTAATATGAGAAAAGGAAATCTCGCTGCTCATAAATCAATAAAACTACACATATAACCTATGATACATGTTGCATCCACTCATATAAGAGTGATCCAACAAAAAACAATTCTACTATCGTAGAAGCAAGATCTTGCAAGTTGCCGTAGCTGTATGGCAACTGAATGTAAGGTAAAAAAGGAAAATGAAAATTTGCTTTGTCTTAAGCTTTTATTCTGCTTCCCAGTACGTAATTTTACCAAACAGTATGTGAAGACATGCTTTTTCCGACTTCTTTGGCAATTAAAATGAGTGACGAGATTAAAAATGGTTATTATATAGCACAAATTTGACATAAGCGCAGCAGATGTACCGGCAATTTATCAGATGGCCTACAGTTTTTTTTTTTTTTTTTTCTAAGATCTCATAGTTTTAGATATGCATTTGTAGTTGGCACTTTTCTATATTGTTCCGGTGTTGCATTTCTAATCATGTCAGTTCTATTCGGCAACGAAGTCACCTCATCTCTTATATTAATACCAGATTTAGCAATATTATTTTGCTTCTCTCAAGCACAACAGTTCTCTGATCGTCCAATGTATGAACAGGACAAGGCCGAGTTAAGTCGAGTACCCAGGGAAAATATTTACGGTAAAATATCCTAACATAGCCGAAAAGGGTTCCTTTTGACTTTCAGGAACTCATGCGCCTTAGTTAACGGACTCAAGTCTATGATAATATTACATAAATTTCAAAAATTATATACATTTATTGAAGTGAATTTTATTAGTGGTGAAAAATAGTCAAGCCACCGGGTTCGCTACTTAGCTTACAATAATAGGCTCGGTTTTTACCAATTGAGATTCGATACTGCGTCTACAAGCTTTCGGTAGTGCTTTTTAGCTGCATCATATTTTCGCGTAGTCCTCTTTCGAATAAATTACCTCTTAATTTAGATTGCAAGTTCCTATAGATTTTTCAACTTGGATTTTTTTCATACATATAAATAAATTCCATTAGCATTCCAACTTTATTAGAAGATATCACTTTATTGCACTGGAACGCTGTTCGTTAGGGGAACAGAACACCTATTTCCTTACTACCAGCCAGTATTTTTTACGGTGAAGTATCGTTTCTCTGGATGTGTTTCTTTAGGTGTGGCGGAGCTGTAGTTCCCTGAGGTCCTGGACGAAAATTCTGCCCGAGTCCGAGCGTCGAAGACGAGTACGGTACTGTGGTAGCAATAAAGGTTCTGTCACGATAAATTCCCGAGGAGGAAGTGGAAAACGCTAAACTGGAAACTGTAACCCCTGCAATAAAATATTACTTGATTGCATGTTATTAGGCAATACGGTTTGCAGTTAACGAATTTGGCCATTTCGTACAGTTCATTGAATATATCTCATAATCGTCTAAACAAAAACAAGGGCAAAACCCTCTCTTCTGTTCTGTTGTTTACCACGGGTCTGGGCGATGATCAGAAGCATGGCTACAGTCATCTCTTCCGCCGATTCGCATTGTGGCTGAAGCAATAAGCTACTGCTCTTCCTATCGTTCTCTATTTTAAGTATTCTTAGAAAAGATACTCGTTCTGTATATTTATAGTGACGTATAATATTGAAATGTGATGACTGTTAATCTACAGAGTTCTGTGTATCTCATGCGGTAACCACTAGATGCATGCCGTCATTGAGAACTATGACAGAAACGATTGCTTAGATAAATACAGGTATACTATAGACAAGCGATAGACAGACAAACGGAAGTCCCTATGCTTAATCTACCCAAATCGGTTGTTGACGAGCTTAGGTCGTTTTGAAGGGCTGCTGGTGATGCTTTTGTTGTAGAATACGATAAGTACGTTGATATCGACCCGATAGTTCCTTTAATTATAGGACCTCCGGTCGGTGAAGGCAAAGCTGTGTTTTTGACATACGGAGTTGTGATTCTGCTCACTGCAGTTATTACGTTTCTGTCTGCTGCGACTCTACTATCAAGTGGATTGAAAAGCGATGGCGGGGCTGCAAACGAGAAGCTAAACTTTCTGGAACTAAAGTCGCTACCCGGAGTGTTGCAGTCTTGACTATAGTTGAAGCTGTTATTGCAATAGAGTGGGTACACGGTCCTGAAACAGATGGAAAAGGTCATGAACTCGTTAAGGCCACCATGCCCAGAATAAACGGATGATAAAAATCAATTTAGTTTTAGCGAATAGTACATTATGCATGTTACTTAGTTTTTCGTAGTAATTACTTCGTTAGGTATTCAGATACTTTAATGGACACAAACGATAGAATGAAACAAGACAGATTTACTTCTTCGATAATAATGAAGGATGGGCATTGAGAGGGCTGAGATTAGGCTAAATTTAACATTGCGAATGTAGCTACCTTTTTTATGATGTTTCCTTTTTCTGGACAAAGCGCATGTAAGGAACTTGTTTCATAAAATGTTCCCTTATAGAAGAAATAAAAATAAATGTTCACGTAAAAGACTCAACGACTAAGTATTTTATTGGATTTGTTATGAAAATCTCGAAGAAAACCTATTTCTGAAAAATGTAATAACAACTAACTAAAGATGCCACGTTTTTGATTATTGAAGGAAAATGATCAGTTTTTTTCTCTCCAATATGGGTTATTCTCTGTAACTACATATGTTACTGATAGCCGAAGCTAGAGCTAAGACAGTCGTTCGTCTTTATATATTGTCGGCTACTTTGTAACTTACCAGGCGCTAAAGCCCTGAATCGATAAAATTCGTTGGGCGCACGCAATTGCTTCTGTTAAATTCTCCGACCGTAGAGCTGTAATAAGAGACACGGTAAATACTATTTGTCTTCCAGTACAACATATATGGTACGTTGTTGAGTGTAAACTGTCAAATGTGCAAACACTCAACTTAAAGAAGCAGATTAAACTAACTTGAGAAGCTCCTGCGATACTGATAGAGAATATAAAGGGAAGCTTTTCAATAGTACCCCATTAGTTGTTAGTCATCATCGATTGTTTTACCATAGCTAGCTGAATTCGACCTTAATAAGGTCCAAAATTCTAGCAATTTATTAGCAAGAAGGGAAGATCTAGCATGCGTCAACACCATTTGCTGTCGTCGTGAAAGCCTTTCGTAGGCCAGAATCATGGAGTAAAGTTTGCAATCTTTATTACAGCTACGCCAAACTATAGAATCAGTAGAATGGATTGTTTCTTTCGCTTAACCAGAATATTGCTTTACAGAGCTTGGCTTGTATTGATGACCTTTTGAAGAAGATATTCGTTCCTAATCGTCAAGAGCCATAGAAAAAATAGGCCAACAACAATATTAAGGCTGGCCAATAGTGTAGAAATGGTCCGAGGTACAAAGATGACAAATAGCTTTGTAATCTGCTCTGGTACGGCAGTAGGCTGGAATTCTAATTCATGAAAGCCTATACGAAATGTGCTTATGTCTTTTGGCCAGTCTACGGGACATGCTACATATCGAGAAATACCTTCACAGCTGACGTTGCAGATGTTGGCTGGTCCTGGCGAACACCAATATCGATCATTGATCTAAAAGTAAATCATCATTAAGACTCAAACAAAAATATAGGTTATGTGTGGCTCACGAGTGAAGCCGAGTTCCCTTCAGTCCCCGAAAGCCAGCGTGTTAACAAACCACAGCACCAGCGCTTATTGTACAAGAAGTAAAGAAGTACAAGAAGAAATTGCTACCTTAGAGATAGTGCGAAAAAATAATTATGTCCAAAAGGTATGGGACTTAATAGTTAAATTGGTCAACACCATGCAATATTTGTTCACGCTTGACTCAATGAACAAGATCGTAAGCAATCTTCCGGCAGTTACACATAGGGTGAGGATCTAACAAACGAATCCTGTACTAACAACAGCTTAACCACACGGTCAAAGGCATAAGAACAACGATGGTAGACCTTTCTTGAATGAATTTTAGTTATTGCACCCTACATAGTGATTTCCAAATCACTAATATCATGATTGATCTGGACATGTAATGAAGGGCATCGAGTGCAAGTATGTTTATTTGTTTTGCACGTGTGTGTTGCCTTATCAGGTTTACCCTAGATAGATAGCCTACCGCAAACAGTTTGGGATAGTTCTCAAATGCTCATTCCTTATAGAGCATTTAGGGCACAAGATGATCCCTTTCAACAACAAGGACTGCAGTCAAGCAACAACCAATTGATCTATAAGGAATAGGCAGCCCATCTGCAATTGGATTAGCGTTAATTACTCGAAAATTGCTTACGTTAAAACATGAATAGTACACCTCCTGCTGGTTTCTCTTGCTCAACGCGCAGCGTTGCTTTGGCATCAGTTCGCTAACGCTTTGACAATAAATGGCGTTTGGGTAACCTATTTTCTAGATTAGGCAAGTATCATTTTTTTTTTTCTATGAATATTCGTGTAAAATTATATGAGTGGGTTATCTACAGTAGAGCTCGAAAAGAGCGACTACGTAACTATTAACAATACCAGTGTCTTTCCCTTTCAACGAAATATACAATAGTTGCTTACGAAGCAGCCTTTGTCCGAAGAGAGTTAAGAGGGATCTTCCCGAAAATGAAATTCATTCTATTTTGCCTGTTTTCAAATTTGTGGTCGAACTGCTCCTATGTGAGCAACAGATACTCGATTTTAGCTTTTCGGTCAGTCTCGTGCCGTTCCATCCCTCGGGTACAGCCTGTGTAGCAAAATAAGAATGATACGCTCTGGGTTGTTTGTTTACTTGGTTAACATTGTGCTTTGGATAGTGACAGTATGAAACATTCAATCGCAACGAACGATACTATCAATTTCAATGTAAAGCCTTATATTATCCTAAGGAGGCATATGATAGATCTAAGGATACACTAGTGTTAGAAGAAAAAAAATAATAGAGAATGCACTATGTTCGTTTGTAGTTGTATTGAAAGCTCGCCGGGGGCTCATATTGTGTTTCTGTCATTATGCTTTACCTGCTACCCGTGATAACCTAAAACGTCTGTATCAGTTAAACGACCAATTAGAAAAGGTCTAGTTTCTCGAGATGAACGTCATTCTTATCGCTACAGTATTACGTAAAACGTAAGAACGCCTGCAAAAAAAACTACAATAAAATTCCCCTCTTCCGCTCTATATCCGTAAGTCCTACCCTGACCCAAGAGACCGATCGCCGTACATCTTTTGTGCATATAATAATCTGGACAAATTTCTATCATAGTAAATTATATACCTGAAAAATGCCGTGGTCAGTTGAGTTGTCCCAATTACCCGTATTGATTGCGTCGGTGTTGAAGTTGCTCTCGTAGCGAGCAATGCACGTCCCTAGCAAAACTCGAAAAATAGCTCAAGCATTGAATAGGCAGAAGTTTGTACTACACAGTATAGTCCAATTAGACGTTGATCGTTTTCAATGATAAAAGGCATATATATATATATATATATATATATATATATATACGTATAGATAGATTGTTGGGCGTTTACCATCTAATGATACGGCTAGTCACGTGGCCGCACGAACTTTGCCCTTAGCAAATGTCGAGTGGTGTAAATAAGTATACGGCACAGGAATACATAGAATCTTTGATGATTATGCTGTTTGCAGTGCCATATTTACTCACTGATGATTAATCGAAAAACGCAGAAGCTTCATGACGCTGTTTTGATGTGTACCTGCGTTTCAAGTTATTAGTTCGATGACTGACAAACCTATCCAATTCGATTCAATCATGGGGCAACAGATGTTTGAAGTGGAAATCTAAGTTGTACGGAAGGCTTCGAGGTACGAGAAAACCAGTAAGAAATGTATATCTCTGTATCGTACCTGCCACTCTGTTCGATGGTGGGTCCTATTGTATTGCTTTCATCTAGAAATTGCATTTTATGCTGCCACGTGCTTCTTAATTCGCCTCATCTTTTACTTACATTTATCGATCTGTTCCACTGGAAAATGTTTTTTAGCTTCGGCGACAAAGTCACATTTCGAAAACACTTTAGCTTCGCCAATTGTAGAAAAAAGCGTCCACGCCGACATCACGACGATCAAGAAAAAAATGGCTGAAGAAAGATGTAACTCCATATTCCAGCTCAATGGGTCACCTCGATATGTCGACTGCCATTTCAGTACTGCACCGCAACGACGACCCGCCCTATATTGACGCTTTCTGCCAATCGTTTTGTACTACCTCTACCTACACATCCAGCGTGACTGTCCAATATATCAGCGGAATGAATCTTTAAGAATATTGCGTAACATTGAGAGTAACTAGAAATGGCCGGACGGTAACTCATAGTTGGATGAAGGCTTCATCTGGACTTTGCAATATTTCAACCGAGGAGGTTAAGAATGTCCACTGCGTAGAAACTAAAGAAGGAGGATTAGATTTCGCAAACAATTGTGTTAATCGTTTAACAGATGGACGGCCAGCCGACTTATTACTGGTTCGCAAGTACATAAAATACTCATCCAGTCGTTGCATTGTGTTGTTTCACAGAAAATATTTAGGAACTCGAGAATGGAACTGAAAGGAAAACGGCAAAAATACGTATCTATCTATAGGGTCGTTCATTGCGTAGCTGTTTAGTCAGACACGAAAAGGCGACGATCAACGAAGGGGCTGAGGAAACATCCGCTATTTCGTTACTTGATGAAGCAACGGGGGAGGAGCGCTAAGACGTCTTTCCCTCAGGCGAGGGAATCAAACGTTGGCAGCGTGACTCGCCCTCAACACTCGGCTGTTTCGAATTGAGCTTGTTATGACGCGGGATAATTGAAATACGTGCATTTTTTTTTTTTTCGCCTGCGCTAACCATCACCAATCGCCGATATACCTCCCCAAAGGGGAGACCGACAGTTGCTCAATAAAAAATTCACGGAAAATTACAAAATCTAAAAAAACATTATTATATCAGTAATAATGCATAGATACATTATATTGAATTTAAATTGGTAGCATCTGTAATTCATTCCCGATATATGAAATTAGAGTGGTGGCATTGCTGCGTATTGTTTTGATAGAAAAATCACGTAAAGCCAAAAAGTCTTTCAGACTAGGTAGCTCGTACGCGATTGATTCTCTTATCTAGAAATGTGTAGAGCAGATGCCCAAACGGACGACTAGTCCTGCTATTATCAAAATACACAAATATACCAAGAGGTAACTAAGATAATCCGGCGAGAGGCTGAGCCGAAGTTCCAGTAGAACACGTCTAGCAATGACTATTTTAGAAAGGTCAATGTATTTAT